CAGAGAGGATTCCTCCAGCAGCTGTTGGGAGCAGATGCAGAGACCCATACCAAATATTAAGCAGAGCTTAGAGAACCCTGTGGAGGAGCAGAAGGAAAGAGTGTAGGAGCCAGGGGACTTGATGGTACCATGAAATCCTGCCCACAGAATCAACTAAACATGGATCATAGGGGTCAACATGGAGCCTCCACGTGTCTTCACTAGGTCCTCTGCATATATGTTACTTTTTTTTTAGCTTGGTGTGTGTGTGTGTATGTGTGTGTGTGTTGGGGGACCTCCTAACAGTGAGAAACTGGGGTGTGACTCTGACTCCTTTGCCTGCTCTTGGAACCCTTTTTCTGCTGCTTGGTTACTTCATTCAGCCTTGACATGAAGGTTTGTGCCTGTTTACTGGTCTTGTCATGCTGTATTCAGTTGATACCACTGGCCTGTTCTTTTCTGTTTAGAAATAGAGAGCAGTGGATCTGGGGGAGAGGGCAGGTAGGGAAGAATTGGCAGGAGTGGAGGGAGGGGAGACTGAAGTCTGGATGTATTGTATTGAGAGGTGAATAAATTTAAAAAAATGATAAAAGAAGGCTAACAGGCAGGCAGGCATAACCAGGACATGCTTAAGACTGGAAACGGTTTCTGGCAACAGTGATGACACTATGTTGTTTCCCAACTGAGCTAGAAGAGGACTTTCCAGTCACATTAGGAAAGTCACATGGGAAGTAGTGAAATATGACCACAGTGGAATGCTTATTATTGTTATTTTGGAAGTTGAGGCTGCACAAAGAGGAGCTTTGCTTTACTCTGGCATGTAGATCCCAGACACTTCTCAATGGGAACACAAAACAGTGGCATGCTCTTTTTATATTGCTCTTTCTAGACTGGTTCAGAGATCAGAAGTCCTGGGCATTTGGCTGGCAGACTTCCAAAGGTCAGGCTCCTACTACATTGTGGGGTTCACCTGCTTCCTCTTGAGAGTGGATATGGGATGGCCTATCACCTTAGTGATGGTGCACCTCAAATTTTGGTGTCTCAAGAAAACCGGTGGTCCCATTCTTAGCAGTGAGGAACAATGGCTTAAAGAGTCATTTACATTTTTAAAAGTGTATTTCTAGGATCTGGCCGGTGTCTAGCTCTGCTGCTGTTGCCCTTCCTACTGCTCTTACCCTTGATGAGAGCATGGGTTAAATGCTGAAGGGTGAGTCTTTGATTTATGCTCTAAGACTTGAACAGGCTGCAATTGAACTATAGACATGCTGCAGAGGACTCTTAGACAGGCTGTTATAAAACTTGGGTTTTGCACAAGGTTCTCCTTCCATTATTGGTGCTTTGTACAGCCTGATTTCATCTGTTAAGGGTAACACAATGCTGTGATTTTTTGACAATGCTGGCTCTCTCATTTCATGTCACTTGTGACCTTTTAAACATTGTTTGTAATAGTGTCAATAGAGTTTTGTATTCATTTGGCTAATATGTGCTATCCATATGTACTAATCCATGAAAAGGATTAAGTTTTTGGTCGACACTTTCTGCCTACTAGAAGAGCAAGGGGTGCCCAGTGTTCCCTCTGTAAGTTCGTGCTGGGTGAATGAATTGTGAGACTATGGAATGGTAGAGTAATGCAAGTACTTTATTATTGTTGTTATTATTCTGTAGGGAACACAATTGATATAAAATCCAAAACTGATATATCATCTAGAGAATAATTATGTTAAGGCATTTTGGATCAGAAAAAGATCAAACACCAAGCTTGAAGCTTCCACCTCTCCTCTGTAAGACTGAAAACCTAATTGTGAAAGCTTCCATCACCTGTATTTTGACAGGGTTTCAATGTGATGGCCAAAGTAAGTCGAACTACCCTAGAGGTTGAACACACTAATTAAATTACCTCCTTAATAGAGAATAGATTGAAGTTCTTCAAAGCTCACTGTATGCCTTTTAAACTCTGGACATACTTTAGGCTTCTCAGGCATAGTAGTATCTGAAAAGTGACATGCTGGGAAGGGTTGTATCTATTAGAGGATCTGGCACAAATTCACTAGAGATACATGCCTGCCTTAGAGTTGATGATTAAAATGCCATCTACTCATTGGGCAATGCACTGGGTTTTCACATCTAGACAGTTATTTTCTGTAATTGCAAAAACCTCAAGGCTACTGAAGAAGTAGCCTAGACCTAAAACATATGATCTGTTTCAGCTTATGACATGCTAGATTCCACTGTTTGGCACAACGTTGCTCTAGGTAGACACAGTGCCCTCTGGTGCTTAAATTGCAGGCCTCCTTTAAAGGGGTATTCTCACCCATACAGCAGATTTTCTCCATCTGTAGGAGTCAGGTTTGCAGGGTGCATTATAGCTTTCTTGCAGGTTGCTGGATGCAGCCTATTAAAATTATTACAGTAGACTGGAGATAAAGCAAGTAGAAACAAAGGAAGAAATAGCAAAAGTGTAGAGATGCTGCCTTTTCTTTATTCAGAAACGGACGGAAATTCTCCTGAGCCCCTCTTCTTCCAGGCAGATGGCCGTCTTTCTTCTCTATCAAGTATGCATCATTTAGTGTGATTTCTTACGAAGTGTACCAGATCCTGCAATAAGCCTGTATTATCAGAGGGGCCTATTTCTGGAAGCACAATGGGACTAGTGGCCAGGGTGATTTTAAAGTGATGACCTGTAAGGTCGTTTTCATCTTGAAAGCTTTTAAGTGAAACTAAATTGGTTTGAGTCAGACATAAAACAATACAATATCAGCCTGAAGAGCAACAAACTCAGAGTTAACCAAAGAACAGGGCAGAATATGGGCAGAATTGGGCCCCACAAAGGAAGGCAACTATGTCTTTCTGGCCTGGGCTAAGATGATGCTTTTACTCTCATTGTTTCTTATGGATGTCATGGCAGTACCTTCTCACTCATTCATTGTTTTTGAGATTTTGTCTATTCTGTTAACTCTTTCCAGTCCTGGAGATGGAATCCAGGGCATTGGCCTTGCTATGGAAGTACTTGTCTGTTGAGGTCATCCCTAGCCCTGTTTTTAGCTCTTGTTCTTTATTGTTAACATCATTTGTGTTTGTTTTCTCTGTAATGTTATCATGTAAGAAAAAGAAGTGTCAGCATCATTATCTTCTAACATCTTAAGAAAATTATAGAACACCAAGACAGGGTAGAATGGCTCATGAACGATCTCTACTCTAGCTAGGTTTGTGACTCTCTTGAAGTCTAAGGTGCCCCCCATACCCCTGGGGAAATTACCCCAAACTTCTCTGTGATAGAAATATCATAGATTCCAATTGAACCTCCATGAACCATCCTGCTAGTGAAGGTTTGTAACAAAGATTTGTACTAAGCCCCCACACCCCTTTCAGGGAGTGAAGATGACAATGATAGTGCATTTCTAATGACATATGGAAGAAACAAATGAACCACACCTGGACATATGAGTCCAGATGCTCAGTGGCAGAGGTTCATAGAATGTATGAGGGTTCCTATGCCAAGTGTATCATGTCACTGTCCTGAGCCTGCATTTATGTTTGCCTGATGATTGGGTACTTAGAGCAATTAGATGGAAGTGTATTATATCCATGGAATTTTAGCAAAAGTAACAGCTTCTATTTAGTTTCTTCAAAGCTATGTAACTGGTTGATGAACTCAGATTAAAATAAAATTCAAATTTTTTATCTAATTCCTCGATAGCACAGCCAAAGAATTATATATAAATGGTCCAAGTAAAATGAAGTTACTATTCCCTCTTATGAAAAACAAAAAGAAGAAAATGTCTGTAACCCAGTGTAACAATCCACATTTTATCAGAGCACTTTGATGACTCTTTATCATATTTCAGTAAGTTCTATGTGATATAGTATGGTAAAAATCAGAAACGTGTAAATGAAATATGGACACTATAACATAGGATAAAGTTGTGTGCCCTCTGCTTAGGCTTGTCTAAGCTGGTCTGATGGAAGGAATCCTAGGCACAGTGAGCATTGCAGGTACTCATCTGTTCTTGTGGGAACAGTCAACAACATAAAAGGAACAAAGAGGCCATTCTGACTCTGTGCAATCACAGGAGATGCTGGAGCTGGTGTACATCCACACAAAATAGCCTTACTGAGAGCCTGAGCAACCGATGGTCTCTTTAGGCAAGCCGCCCCTGGCCCTATGTAACCACAGCCTTCCCAGTCTGCTTGCCCCCATGGCCAGACTCACAGAGCCCCTGTGTTTCCTCTCCTTGGTAGAATTTGAGTCTGAAACTCGTGAATCCAAAGAACTGAGTTCAGATTTCCTCTTGGCTATACTAAACTATAATGTTTTATTTTGTGTAATTTGGTGAGGATAATTTTCTCTGTTTATAAAGAAATCTTGTATATCATTCTTTTAAAAATATTTTCAGTGTGTTAATTAACCACTTATTTCTCAATACATCATTCTTTTTCTTTCAAACTTGCTGGGACTTTGGAAACTAAAACATAGGAATGAAAATGCACCTAAATGCTCAGGAACACAATAAAATTACTGTCTTTCTCTAAGATTTCTTGGCAAATTTAAGACAGTTTCTAGTTATTCTATCACAAAGGGATTACCAGTTTCGTGATGTTTTTTGTTACTTAATTACTTATGGTTCATTCTCACTAATATTCTCATTAAAAAATGAACAACCGATAAGCCGTCTTGGAGAAATGTATACCTGATTGTTGAATGGCACTATGAAAACCACATATTTACTAATTTAGACTGGTTAGAATTTCCTTAGCCCTTCCTTGTGTCTCAGTTTTCAAGCTAGTATTCTATCATTTCCCAGTCATCTTGCTTGCCAATAAAATAAGAGAGAACTTCTGTACAAATTCAGGTCTGCAAAGGGTTCCAGTATGTTAGCCATGAGTGTTACTTGATAATGGATGGTGTGATACAGGTAATTAACTATGAAGTCATTAAGGCTTCTCTATGCCCTGGCAGTTTTGTTTTCCAACAGCTGATAATGAACATGTCAAATGTGTTTTCCTGCTTCCTGTTATTTCAGATCATCCCTGAGTGAAATTTGACAGAAGATGTTCCCACAGCTCGCTCTATGGAAGTGTTTACCCCATGGGATCGTCATTGCCTCGCTCTTGGCAGTCAGCTGGGGCCAGTACGATGATGGTAAGTCTGCCTTCACTCTGATCTCTATAGTTAAACAAGGTGTCTTCCTGGTAATGAATATTGATTTGTGGTTATTTTCAAAGGTTAGGAGTTCTTTGTAGAAACTTAAGTGGATGAGTTTACAAAAGTGGCTATAGATATATGTTTGATTCTATATAAACATTGCAGTGTATAGAAAATCCAACATAAAACCTCCATTGCAATACTTACTATGGCAGTGCTAAATTGCTTTGAAAAACATTAAACTCTACTAATGCCTTTGAATGGACACAGATAGCAGTCTCCAATAAAACCAGCAATATGAGGCAAAGAACACTCTTCCATGAGTCAAAAATCTGAAAAGGACAATAGGAAAAGCCCTAAGTTATTTGAGGGCTGGTGCTCATGTTGCTTTACTAGATTCCTCATGATTTTGTTTGTGAAGAGAAAATATCAAAGAGTGGGTAATTGACTCTTAAGTCATTGCATAATAGCAAATCAGTTTATTAAAAGTAACTAAGTCACTAAGTCACCTTCAGTATCTTTCCGAAGGTTCATTACATTAGGTTGGCAGTGACCAAAATATGCTTGGACTAATGTTTCGGAATAAGATTGGTGAGTTTTAAATACCACAAAGTGTGTGTGTGTGTGTGTGTGTGTGATACATATGTATAGTATGTTTATATATGACACACATTTATGTATGTGATGTACACATGTGTATGGTAGTGAAAGAAAATATTGGCCAAATTCCCCTTGGAATTTTACTACTTAAGATTATGTTTATTCCTTTAACATCCTGTTGTTTTTATTTGATGTTTATACAGTGTACAGGGAGCATAAACCCCATAGCAATGTCTTTTTTCTTGACTTGCTAATCTGGTTGGTCTCAGTAGTAACAGAGTTTGAAATTCCTTTGTACTCTGATTGGGTAAATTGACATGCCTGAAGATAAATGAGTTAGTTTGATGTTTTCCAAATGTGTGCAAGTTGTTCACACATTAAGTTACCTTTGGTCCTCAGTGTTTGTGGAGGTGAACATCTTTTGGGATTGAAGAACAATCCATAATGTTTATTCATAAAATCAGAAGATTTACCCTGGAGTGGTCCCACTAATTAGCACTTTGTTTATGTCAAGTACATCTAAATTAAATGTTCACAGTTTTTTCTTTAATGGAAAATTTAAATATCCAGTCTAAAAAATGAATTTTAAAAAGTAGTAATAAGTAAACAGCTGCTTGGAATTTAAAAATACAATTTAAGAGGCATTCAAGTATTTTGAAGGAACACATTTTAATTGAGCTCTCAGTAACAAATCAGTGTGCCCTTATTTATTTCATAAAACATTCTATTCTAATTCATATTTAACAGTCATATTGAGCAGACAAGCCATTTCTCATGTTATACATTCACAAAACACTCACTTTAGCAAGCTAATTTGTGTAATCAGATGAAGCCACCCATGTTTAAACCATAATGCTATCATTGGAATTCATTCCTAAGCTCATTACAGCCCTTGCTCCTTTCTCCACGGATGTGTGCAGTCTGTACTATAGAATTGTGTGACCACAGTTGGTTATTGTGTAGTAAAGTCCTTGAAGGAGAGTGGAGCATTGCACCTTTCTCTGCCAGACAATGGCAAGGTTAACCCTTAAAGGCTTCAAGTCCGTTGTCTAGATCTGTCCCTGCAGCCTTTCCGTCTCTCTCCTAGAGGTGAGTTAATCGATTTTAGGAAGAGACAGACTTGGTGGCCTGGTGGTACAAGACAGAGTGCAGGTCCTTGAGCTCTGCAGTTGTTTGGCAGTGCTTGGCAGGAAGTGTCCAGTTGAGTGTGTGCCTCGGTATCCCCTTTATGCTTATGCTCCAGGAAAGTTCTTGTTCCTCAGCTGTGCTTCCAGCCAAGTTTTCACTCCTTCCACTCCTCACCCAATTCAAGAATCATCTGCCCCTCGGGTTTTGTTTAATCTGAGTTATATGTGACTAAAATGAGATTTTTGTCAAATTTCCATGCAAAGCCATGAGAATGAATTACCCATGCATGGCATCAGTAGTGAGTATGCCATGGAGAACACACAGGAGCACTTCACTGAACATGGGGAATGGATTCATTGAGACAATGTTTATCTAGGGGTCTGCATGCAGATGCAAGTTCAAGGAAGGCAACAGTGACTTCATAAAGGACAAAATAAGAAGTTATATTCCAAGATAACTGATTATTGGCTGTTTGAATGAATGCCTTACGATAGTTGACAACAGCTTTACATATAGGAAAAGCTTCAGGAAAGGTTGAAGGAAAGGCATGACTAATCATCTTTATTTATTAAATCATTGCTAGACAGATAAATAAAGATGAATAAAAGATGATACATTTTCTGGACTGGGTATAGGAGATTGTTTGAGGGCAGGATGGAGGGGGAGAATAATGAAAGAGATGTCTTGATGCAGGGCATCATTTCAGGGTTAGGGAGAAAACTGGTGCCAGGGAAACTCCCAGAAACCCACAAGAATGACTCCAAGCAATAGTGGAAAGGATGCCTGAACTGACCTTCTCCAGTAATCAGATTGGTGACTATCCTAATTGTCATCGGAGAGCCTTCACCCAGTAACTGATGGAAGCAGATGCAGAGATCCACAGTCAAGCACTGGACTGAGCTTTGGGAGTCCCACTGAAGAAAGGAAAGAGGGGTGGGGACAGGAGGAATGGAGGGGGCGCTCTAGTTTATTTAAATAAAACACGTTCTTAAAAACCAGTTGGTTCTCTCATAATATTTGTGCCAATCTTGAACCAGTGACCCTATTTTAGAAGGCTAGTTACTATATAGTTCACAGTATGCACAGTTGGATCAGACAGCTGGTTAGTTTTCTTTCCTAGTAGCATGAATGTGCATGACACTTTCCAGAAACATGACAACTAGCCAGTAGAGATGAAGCTCCTGGCATTGGTCCCAACTTAATTTCTTACCCCTTTTCACCTTATCAATAGGATAAGTGTTAGATGCATTAGGAATTTGTTGATCATTTATTCCACAGTAGTCACTTTAGATGCATTAGGAATTTATTAATCAATTATTCCACAGTAGTCACTTTATCAATCACATGACTCCATATTTAGGCAAGTATTAATAACACAGATGAGGTCAAGAATATTTCATGAGAGTAAGAATAGTGAATTCACTTAATTAATAGAGCCAGTAGAAAAGTTTGAGACTATAATTAACTTTCTGCTTATGTTATAATGTACGTGTTAGCTGATGGCTAGGCTTGTTTGTTCATATTCTCTTTTTTGATGGTGAGGGCTCTTATATGTCCGAGTTTTAAAATCTGAAAACACATGATTATGTTTGTTTGTTTCAATAGCATTTTCCTAGGAATCAATTTCATGCATTTAGTCTTTATGTTTTTCTACTCCAAAATTACACTTGGAATATTTCGGTGGCTTCTGAATACTGCGGTAACGAGCTTTCTTCCTGTCAGCATGCAGTTGCTGGAAGACAAAGATAAAAAGAGACAGAGTAGAAAATTGGGTTCTGAGAAACAGAAGACCACCTGCTGCACTCAGGACACATTCTATCTGCTCACACAAGCACTCACACGTGCCACTCGCAAGATTCTGGAAAAGAGTCAGCAAGTTGCCAGTATTTCAGGAATTGTCTCTACTCTGTTGAGTCAGAGAAGCATAAAGTCTAACTCAATGTTCCATCTGTATGATACAATAAATAACGACCATCAGTGTGATGCTTTCTTTGTGGTTATGAGATGAGAAAACTGAATATTATGGAATAAACATATCTTAGTCACATAAAAACAGATATAATTTTAGTTTAATATAAACTGAAATAGAACAAGAGTTTAATTGTAATCTTACTTGGCTCAGAGTCATCCAAGACTCAAGTATCACATGATAGTCTGACCATTCTTAGCTAGGCCTTTTTCAGCCCTAGTATGTATCTTACCACCAGTTCCCAAATCCTCTTAAGCTCTACAATTTGGTTTTTCTCACACTCTGGTGAAACTGCATCTCTAAAGCCTCTAGTGGCTACCATGTTGGACAAATCCTGTAATTCTCTAGCATTTCAGTAAGTATGGTTATCGATCCAGTGCAACAATGACTTTATTGCTTTTGGGGTTCTTTGTATTGACTTTTTCAGAGTGTCTGATGATTAGCTTTCTCTAACATTTTCTAATAAATACTCAGCCTGTACCACCTCTCCTATTTGGAAATCATCCCATTCTTGTGTATAATTCTCTAAAGATACATATATCATAATTAACAATATAGATTATCTTACAATTGAACAAGGCCCTGTCTTTGGCCATTATTTTCTCCCCTCTTACTTCCCTGACTCTGTGATTCTACTATATATGCTTTCAACTGTTCTCTGTTAGTTTGATAGACTCTCTAAAAAAAAAAAAACCACGTATTTAGTTAACACTCATTTGAGTGTCAAGCTCCAAGAAGCAAAGTAATTGAACCCTGTGCAATCTAGGAGATTAAGCATAAATAATATGTGATTTACATAATAATAAAAGTGGGAATGACATATATACATATATATATATGGGAAATAAAATCTGTTGAATGTGGAATTGGGTCACAAAATGATATCTCATGCTTCATTGAATTAATGTGAGTTCAAAAGACAAAACATCATATGAATTATTCCTTTATGACTCACGCACGCACGCATGCATGTGCACGTGTGTGTGTGTGTGTGTGTGTGTGTGTGTGTGTGTGTGATCAGTCCTTGGCAAGCAATAGGGGAAATACTTTTTATTACACAATCAAAAATATACAAGAGTCTTTTATTTGCACTATTAGTAAATATTCTTAGTGGTAAATTGAAAAACTAAGCAGATTTTGACAGTTTACCATGAAGTTAGTGTATTGATACAGGACAGAGGGAACTCCTGCAAACTAGAAACAGATATCACATCAATGTCATACACTGGTTCACACAGTAGAAAATTATTTTATTTTATTTTCCTGTTCTGGAGGGCAGAATTCTGTACAATCAGGGTGT